ATTTAAAATGAGAACACTTACTTTGGCAACTAGCTGAAATCAAGTTTACTTTTATATTATATTTTATTTCAAATAACATGTTTTTTTTATGGTTATGTTTTAGTTAACTATAATAATCCTAATATGTTTTGATTTTATTGATAGCCCTAATCAGAGATCTGGTTACCGGTGTTCACAAAATTCCAATGAGGATTCAAAAACACACAAGGAGAAAGCAATTGTGAGTATTTTAATCAAGAAAGATGTGTCTTTAGATTTTTCTCAAAGGCATCTTGGTGATTTCTAACATCGTAATTGAAATGGTATGTAGGAGGAGCGGAGAATTGTTTATGTTGGACGAATTCGTGGAAGCATGACTTGTAAAGAGCTGAAGGAACGCTTCTCATTCTTCGGAGAGATTGAGGAGTGCACTGTGCACTTTAGAGAAAATGGGTATGGCTTTTTTTAATTGTATTTAGTTGGTATATTGTTTACACTAAAAAGAATGTTGCTAACACTCTTGTTATTTCAGGGACAACTATGGCTTTGTTACATACTACAACATGAAGGATGCGTTTGACGCTATTGAGAATGGAAGCAAGCTGAGGGAGCAGAATGAGCTTCCATTTGACCTGTGCTTTGGAGGCAGGAGACAGTTCTGCAAGACCAGTTATGCTGATCTTGGTGAGCTTAGCATCATGTCTTTTTTTTTTTCAATCCATTTAACCCTTAAATGCTTGAATGTTTTGCCAATCACTACTACATATCCGGGTCTTTAGCGACCCGGACCTACAGGTGCATCTCAATAAATTAGAATGTCGTGGAAAAGTTCATTTATTTCAGTAATTCAACTCAAATTGTGAAACTCATGTATTAAATAAATTCAATGCACACAAACTGGCTCACATTTAACAAAAACGTTATGTGAGCCAAAATCATCACAATTAAAAGAACCAAAGACTTAAACTACTTCAGTCTGTGTGCATTTAATTTATTTAATACACTGGTTTCACAATTTGAGTTGAATTACTGAAATAAATGAAATTTTAATTTAATTTATTGAGATGCACCTGTATATATCCAGCATGGATTGATCTCTAACTGCTGCAATAGCAGAAAAACGTTCTTGATATTTTAAGAACAATTACAGAAGAATAAAATAAAGCATGTTTCGTTACCTTTTGAAAAGTGTTCAATTTGAGCAGATGATTTTACCATCGCTGTCATCGTCAGCGCATTTCCACAGTACATTCAGCATCTGGCTCATATTCGTGATCTCAACCATATTCTGAAAACTATCGTTTTCAATGACTTCAAAAACAGTATTTTGATCACTGGCAGCTTATTCACCACATCCACCATCAAATGACAGTGACATTTATATCTAAAAGATTTATAACAGATATAACAAGTATAACTACAAAAAATAAATAAATAAAATAAAAATAAATAAATAATAATGACAAGACCAGTGGAGACAACAAGTATTGTAAGCGATAATGATGACAAAGATAACTATAACAACAACAATAATAATAATAAGGATTTCATTAAGATTAGGAAAGGGACATTTATATTTCATTGCGAACAGTAATTGCTCTGCGGTAAAGCCATTCAAACCAGTTCAATTTTTGCTGATGATATTCGTTTGTTTTATAATTGCCTACGGTAATTATGAGTGAAACATCACGTCGTCATTGTGTATCAAACAGTGCCACCTCGAGGAATAAAGGTGCATTGCACATATTGAGTCATCAGATATGTAAACAGTTGCGCAGGAAAAATATACTTACACATTTACATACCTCGGGTCTCTAGAACCCTATACACCTTTTTACAAAAAATTAATCCGAAAACGGGCATTATTTTATTTATTTTTTCTTGTTATTTTGTTTATAATGAATAGATTGAGGAATACTAAGAAAGTTGATGTCTAACTTTAAAAAATGAAAGAGGGAGAGGGTAGTTGAATGATGTCCCCGGTCGCTAAAGACACGAGGTATGCATTTAATATATAATATTTATAAATATATATATTTGCAACTGAACTTTTTATGCTATTCAGGGTGTCGTCTCAGGTGATAAATGAAACCAGTCTCACTAAATTTCTTCAACAACGTGTAGCCTCTCCATTTCTGATTCAAATTTTACATATCGCTATTCTAGCATCAGTTTTGGTCACAGTTAAGTGCATCAACACTGCTGACATATTTACATGTTGTAACTTTAGGGAAATAGTTGATGTTTCTGCCATATATTTCCGGTTGGTGAAATTTTCGTGCTTCACTAATTTACAGTCTTTGAAAATGTTCCTGTTAAAGACTCCAGATGCTACAGTCTCTTTCTGGTTTCTTTCAGATTCAAACCGGGAGTACGATCCACAGCCTACAAAAGGCAAATTTGATGCACTAGACTTTGACACTTTACTCAAACAGGCTCAGAAGAACCTGAAAAGGTAACGATTAGTCAAGCCACAGGAGAGAAGACCGATTACCTCTGAGCAAAATGCTGCCCCACACTTCCAGTGTTGCCTCTCAATTACTGTTTTTGTTTGTTTTGTTTTTCTCTTTGTGTTTTTGTTTGTTTCTGCAAGTTTACACCTTCTATTGAAGTGAAGGTTTGTAAGAAAAATTTAAAGTGCAAAAAAAAAAAAAGATCATGACATATAATAAAACTGGAATGAAATAGAATTTTTTTTAAAAGGATTAAATTTATTTAAATGTTTAATCTGAATTGCTGAATGTTGGATACATTTTAAAATGAACTGAATGGAAACATTATGTTGGGGAAAACGGGTTTATAATGCTGAATTTATTTCAACCTAAATAAACCTGAGATAAAAATTGTTTCTTGTCTTTTCTAAAATTAAAAATCAATGTCATTCTCTCTTGAACAGACCCTTGCAACATTCACGTAAAATTTGTGTCAATGTCATCCAAATAAGCAACATATTGATTAGTGTATAAATAAATGGGGCTCTCATTTTACAGAAAAATTCAGATGAATCGCATGTTATAGCTCAATTTTGAGTGTGAACTTGCAGTGCTTTCGAGCTGCTGTAAGGCTACATGAGAATATGGTGTCTGTACGATTATATGCTGGTTATTAGGCCAATAACAAAGCCATGAATCTGAAGCAGGTAGTCTGGAGCCAGTGGTCCTTTTTGGTTGATTGAAAATCAGATGCACAGCTGTGTTCTGGATCATCTCTGTTTTGTCTGTTTCTCTAATTGTTCTGGATTGAAGGCTGGTTAGCAGAGCATTGCAGTAGTCTTGATCAGTACCTTAACTTGCCATGTTCATTTGTTGCTGCTCAGTAAACCTCTTGACACGTTTGCCTCTGTGATGACAACCGCATGTAGATGGAAAGAGTTAAGGAACAGAGAAGACCAGTTTTAGAGATGTTTTTATGGTATTAATATCAACATAAGTTAATTATCTTATGTATTTATAGAGATTTACCTCCTTGGTGAACACATTTTCGTCCTAGTCTCACACAAGAAGCAACACTACTGTGTTCCAGTATATGACGATATAATCGTAGTAGAATGTTCAGGTGCAAATAAATAAACTGCAACGTGATGTCGCTATTGGAATGTTAACTGACCTGCACAAAAGGAATTCAGTATTCAGTATGGAAATGAGAACACAAATAGCAAGATATAAGTACTACTTTAAAGCTCAATTTACTGTAAATATTTACAGCTCGAGTTAAACATAATCCTAGAATAATAATAATAATACACTTGATATATAAATTTTTTTCCAGAACGTGAGCTGTATATTCACTTTGTGTTTCTAACAATAAACGCATGACATTCGATCGATTTAACACTAGTTAAACAGACCAATAAATAAGGTACAAAGGTGTACCTTTTAAAGGGTACTGCCCCAGCGACAGTATAATAATATATACTATATAATAATAAAGCATAAATATAACTAATTAAAAAAAACATTAAGATTGCATTTCTATTTTTGTATTTTGACAATTAATCAGATTTTCCTCCCAAATTCACATCATGAAAATAAATGTCACAATGTCAATAATCATAATGGTCATAATTTTTTGATAGACCAAGCAGAAAATCTTTTTTTTTTTTTTTTTTACTGCTGTAATGCAAGAAAATAAGAAATCATGTTCTGCTTTATCTCTGTTTAACTAGTCTAAAATTAATCAAATGACATGCGTCTCGTATAAATACATTTATGGACATTTAGTCAGGAGAACACTTTCTCAGATTATTCATTCTGGACGATGTGCGTTGAAACCTGTTTTTATACAGTCTATGGTTGAAACTAGCGCTGAAGCGATGGAACGAACCATTCACGATACATAGAGGGGTGACATTTCATACGCAAGAGGCCAATGGCCGCTGAATGTGATAGGTAAACATACCCTAGCTGACCTATTTTATCCAAAAAAATATATATCATTGTAATTCCTATATTGTAATGTCTTTGCTATTGTACTATTAATGAACATTATTCATAATCGCACTTTTAAGTATGCGCAGGTCTGCACAGAGACTGGACGTAAGAGATGTTCATCTCAATTCTCTTCCGGTTTCACAGAAATCATCTACGTTTATTAATATAGGTCGTTTTCTACTCTCTTTGTTTATTCAGAGAACACTAACCTTATACAATACAATAATTAATAAACAAGGAAAAGGACACTGGGTTAAAGATACAAAGGAAAATTTTATACAACTTAAAAAATACTTGGGTCTTTATAACCTTTTTAATGCAAAGAGTCTCCGATAATGTCAGTGTCTCTGATTTTGTTCAGAAACACAACTAAGTTCCTTTGTACTAATAAATTTACACGTATATTTGTATAAAAGGTATCCACAATTATTATAGGATGAATTAAATGAACAGGTTGCCATCCACCATTCTCATTCAGACTGGACAAGAGCTAATATTCCCGCTGCCCCTTTAAGAGCTTTGCTAGAGATTTGTTTTCAGACTCGCACAAACCGTCCTTTACTGGTTCAAACCAGTTTTCTGAGTCTGCGCAGTAAGTGTAAACAGGAAGAAGAGTGCAAAATTAAGCAGTGTCGACGAACATTGCGTTACATTGACAGGATCTGTTTGAAGTCGCAATGCAGGTGTACAGTAAGCTTAAACGTAATTAATTTATGTTTAGCACATGATGTAAAGTGACTCGACAAAAGTTATTAGAGAAAACATCGGGTAATGCTAGTTTGCGGTTCTGACATCGTTGAAACACGGGTCCAGTTCGCTTGCACCAGAGCGAGCAGACAGTCCAGATATAGCCCAGAAAGCTTTTAACACTGTACGTGAATGACTGTCGTGTTTTTAACGAAGAAATCTGCAGCTAACGTTAACGTTAGTTCGTGCAGATAATCTGCATCCGATAGAATTCCGCTCCCTACCGGTGACTCAATGACCTACTAACCCAGTAGTGAATCGAGTTAGTGTTTCTGTATAAGAAAGCCTTTTGCTGACGACTAGACCGATAATTCCAACAGAAATTATCAAGTACAATTCAAAATGGTTCAGAAAGACAAAATAATCGAGTCGACACAGTCAGAAAGTGAAGCAAATCCAGTGCCAAGCGAAGCTGTTGCGGATACGCAGTGTCCAGTGGACGAGCCCAGTATCGGGGTTGAGCGAACAGGCCGCAGGAAATTCATCACTGGTGTTGTGGAGGGTGAGCGAATTTTGACAAATCCAACGTAATGTTGCCAAATGTAAAGCATATGCAACCATTAAAATGAGTCTACATTGCTAGAAAACATATATTTTTCTATATTGCTTAGGTGTTGCTTGACTGCAGCATCTGTTTGTGGAATATGCTGCGTTTGTCAAAACCATTTGTTTTTGCTTATTTTGTTCACCACAGGCTTCTATGGACGGCCATGGACTATGGAACAAAGAAAAGAGCTTTTCAGGAGGTATTGTGCAAACATCCTGCCCCTTTCTGATTCAACTTGCCAATAAATCTCATTTTGTTTATTTTAGACAAGTTTATACATGCTATTGTAATTGCTAATACTGTTTTTGTTTAACCTAAAAAAATCTTATTTTATATTTGATGTGTTTCAGGCAGCAGAAATGGGGGTTGAACACCTATCTGTATGCCCCAAAAGATGACTACAAACACAGAATGTTTTGGAGAGAAATGTATTCTGTTGAGGAAGCAGGTGATATATTTATTTTCATGCTCTTTAAAAAGGTACCGGTCGTTATGCTTTATTTGGCTTAAGTTTATGAATCCAATGTCTTTTGCTTTTAAAGAACAACTCACAACTTTAATAAGTGCTGCTAAAGAGCATGGGATTGAGTTCATTTATGCCATTTCCCCTGGCCTGGACATTACATTCTCAAATCAGAAGGAAGTGTCGACACTTAAAAGGAAGTTAGACCAGGTGAGAATGAACCTATTCGGAAGCTTATACTGTGCTGGTGTCAGTGTTTTTATGACCTACATCCTGAATCTCTGTTTGTCTTTTGTGCAGGTCTCTCATTTTGGGTGCAAGTCCTTTGCCTTACTGTTTGATGACATTGATCATAACATGTGTCCAGCTGACAAGGAGGTATTCAGCTCCTTTGCACATGCTCAAGTATCTATCACCAATGAGATCTTCCAATATTTGGGAGAACCTGAAATATTTTTATTTTGCCCCACAGGTAAGATGATTATTATTACTAACTAACCATGCTGCTTTGTGTGATGCTAATGTATTGTTTCTATTTCATACCTTCTCATAATTATTTAATGTTTCCTTGTCTTCAGAATATTGTGGAACATTTTGTTATCCAAATGTGTCACAATCGCCTTACCTGCGCACAATAGGTGAAAAGCTGCTTCCTGGTATTGAGGTGCTGTGGACAGGTAAGTTGTGTTTTCATTGAGGGGACTGGAATAATAGTTTGCTCTCTTGAGGATTTTAACGATGCCTTTCCGTGTTTGACAGGTCCCAAGGTAGTTTCTAAAGACATAACTGTTGAATCTATTGAAGAAGTCACAAAGATACTGAGGAGAGCTCCTGTCATCTGGGACAATATTCATGCTAATGACTACGATCAGAAGAGACTTTTCTTGGGGCCTTATAAAGGCAGGTCCACAGAACTCATCCCTCGGCTGAAGGGAGTCCTCACCAACCCCAACTGTGAATTTGAGTCTAATTTTGTGGCCATTCACACGTTAGCCACGTGGTATAAGTCTAACATGAATGGAGTGAGAAAAGATGTTGTCATGAGTAAGTATGTCTTTATGGAAACATTGTTTTTATAATACTTTTATATATAAAATTAGCAAATTTTTTCTCTTAAAAGGTAAGTTCACCGAAAAATGAAAATGCTCATCATTTACTCACCCTCATGTCATTCCAAACCTATACAACTTTTCTGTTGAAAATGAGATGAATATCTATCTTCAAACATTTTTGGTTCAATATACTTCCATTGTAAGAACAAAAAATAAGTTATAAATGTTAAAAAATAAATTATAAAAGATATATCTGTGCTGATCTTTCAGTTAGCAAATTACAATGATCCAATCGAATCCAAATGGACATTTTGTTTCTCATTTGAGAAGCTGTCATCACAATAGAAAAGACAATTGCAATTTCTGTTTCATGCTGATTCAAAGCAGTTAAGATTTTAACGTGGATTAATGTCCCTAGAATTGCTAATATTCTGAGATGGATTTTTTCCTTATGAATTAGCGGACAGTGAAGACAGCACTGTGTCCATCCAGATAAAGTTGGAAAACGAGGGCAGTGATGAGGAGCTAGAAACAGACATCCTCTACAGCCCACAGATCGCGCTCAAGCTGGCTCTCACTGAATGGCTGAGCGAGTTTGGAGTGCCTCATCAGTACAACAGTAACTATTTATTCTTTGTGTGATATTATGTAACGTGATCTTGGTTGTTCTGAATTTGGTATCATCTATCTTAACCTTTCTTTCTTTGTTGCAGGTCGGCAGGTTCCTCACAGTGGAACTAAAAGCACTTCTATAGATGTTCCTGCACTCACTGTGCCCAGTCTGGGCACTTCCACTACAGTGACTACAGTCTTCCAACAGCCCATCATGAGTCCATCCGTGCCCCTTAGCGATGAACCACATGTGCTTGGCAAAGGAGAAGAGGTGGAGGTGGAGAAGAAGGAGTCTGACGAAGAACCCATGGAGATGGTCGTGGAGAAACACGATGAGGTGGAGGACAATAAAAATGTCAACCAGATCCTCACAGAGATTGTCAAGGCTAAAATGACAGAAGATCTCAGACCCATGGACACAGACAAAGAGAGCCTGACAGAGTCCAAGTCCCCAGAGATGTCCATTCAAGAGGATTCAGGCAGCGACATTGCACCGATGCAGACTGATGATCAGCTCAGTAAGGAAGTGTTTGTTCCAGGCCCCAATGAGAAGCCGCTGTTTACTGCTGAGCCACTTACTCTGGAGGATCTGACCCTGCTAGCTGAACTCTTCTACCTGCCATACGAACACGGTCCCAAAGCAGTACAGATGCTGAAAGAGTTTAACTGGTTGAGAGCAAATAGCAATTATGTTAGTGTGAACTCCAACGCAAAGGATCCAGAGAAGGTGAGAATTGTCATGTTTAAAAACAAGGTTTTGTTTTTAAAATTGTGTTTATCTTGGCCTGGACAGTCATAAAGATTAGTGTAATTTTAAGATTAATCAATTCCTTGAAATTCCTATAATTAATGTACTTTTAATTCTTGTGTAGGGTAAAACATCCTTGTCTGATTTATGAGATTATCATTCTTTAGAGCTGGTTGATTTTGAGTGAAATCTGCAAATTAACTGGTTCACAAATTAATCTGAATGATCATTCATTTGCAAATCTGAGTAGGTTTGAATGATTATTAATGGTAACATGTAAAAGTCAGAGATTTGTTGGTCAAAATGTATGGGAACTCACTTCATCTGTCATGGCCTTGTTTTTGTCCATGTTAAATTAAATATGAACAAAAATGTTTGCTCTATATACTTTAGTCACAAAATGGTGGAAATGCAGTAATTATTTTCACCACATGGTGGTGCATTTATGACTCACTTTGTAGGTAATTGCACATTTTTTGCAATTGTTGCTGAGCTGCGTTGACGCAAGAGACTTTTGATAGTGTGGTTATGATAAAGGTGGTATTCATATGTTTCACATAGGTAGCTGAATGGCAATCCAGAGCGGAAAACTTTGAGGAGATGTGCTGCTCTGTCATCCAGATGTTCACCAGACTCTCCAACTCAGCCAACAGGACCATTCTTTATGACCTGTATCCCTATATCTGGGATATAAAGAGTATCATCTCAATGGTGAAATCATTTGTTCAGTGGTTAGGTAGGTACGGCGACATTTCTTTGCTGCTCCTCAAGACTTTAACCATGCTGAGCCCATGAAATACTTGAACTTTATTCAGTAGAATCCAAAAACAGTGAGCACTCATTTCAATAGCCATCGGTTTATAAAATGTTCAGATCTACACTAAATGCATTGCACTGTTTTGCAGTGAAATTGTTAAGATTTCAGGTGCTCAAAATGCATTTCTTAACAGATGGCAGAGCATATTTTTAGACTTGAGAGAGTAAATTAACACTTTTCTACTCGATTATAAGACCTTAGTTCTCACAGTATGAACAGCTTCCACATGCGCTACTGAAATTTCTTTGGCGAAGTCTGCCATTTATGGAAATTCAGTCTAGTGCACACTCGCTTTTTCTTACTTATTTTTACGTATTCTCTACTGACTGGATGCTGTCCTCATTGCTAGCCAATGCCTCTCCTTCAGGCCACTCTTGATCGGGTAGAATGAATTGGATGGCTGTGGTCACAGTTGCCGGGGTGGGTCCTGCTGCTTGCTGTGCATTCAATATCATTGTGCGTTAACTTGGCAACATCTGTTGCCATCTCTTTCGATCAAGGGTGTGATCGTGAAGGAAAATAAGCCCCTAGCGCACCGCGCATGCGATCTTGGAAAGCAAGGCGGCTGTGTAAGGCTATTCTGGTGCATCATGAATGAATACTTTGTATATGTTGGATTTTCTTTTACCATGTATGCTGATTATGAGCATTATAGGAAGAGACTCCACAAACAACCTCAGCGTATGCTTTACTCTAACTGAACTGGTCTGATCTGGTCACTACATTCCAGTGAACTGTACACAGTTCTCATGGTCCTAAATACAGTTGTGCAGTCAGCGAATTGAAGGCTCTCTTATCTGAGAAGCACTTGGGTCATTAGCCAGCCCTTTTATTTATGATGATTTTATTGAGAGGCCTGTCACTTACTGAGAATGCCTGTGTTTATCCATATAGCTTCTGGGCATCGCTACAGTACAGTTAAAGTAACGGATTCTGCTCTAAATGAGGTTTTTGTTGGAAGTTGGTTGAGTAATTATAGCACCAGCATGGCCTGGGTTACCTTGGTAACCACATTTCATTCACAGGTTTCTGTCCAGCTTTATAACTAAGCATCACAGCAGGCAGCAACCAAAACTGGCATGCCACATCTAAGTTGTCATTAGCTGATGGAGGGGAAAATCAAGTGTATAATCTGCCACATTATTGAGGGTGTTCTGTACAATCTGATTTAAACGTTTGACTTGTTTTCTTAGAACACCCATAAAGGCTTCTCTTTATTTGAGACGGCAAATGTTATGTTGATTTAACTGTTCCTTTAATGTAGATTTATTCATTCGGACTGTCCCCTCTCAATATGCTTTTCAGCCTCTGTTTGCACGGACAGTCCAAATCCCAGCGCATTTTCAGCCAGCATTTCTACACTGTCAAAAGCAGTGCAGATGGCATTCAGTCAGCGGCTCACTGCTGTTATGCTGAGATCAGTTACTAATTAGCTCTTTTATTGTCTTTTCCCTTCATTATGTACAGATGGAAGAATCTTCAGCACAAGTTTCTACTGCTATCGGATGGACAGTGCCCGATGTATACACAGTGCTGCGATTTATAATTTTAGTTTTTGGGGGTTTATGGATATTTTTTCTTTTTCATTATGTGCCCAAATGAATTTTTTTTTTTTTCAATGTCTCAGGAAAGGAAATGCTTTGAAGTCACATTTGCGCTGCGATAGCTCAAGTGTTAGGTGTTAACCCCCTAATTCTTTTCTCTGGCAGCTCTAACATGGTTTTTGTTTCTATCAGTAGGCCCAATTGAAATGGCACAGACCAGCTTTACCACACCAACTTAGGGGAAAATTGATACCCTTGACTCAGTCATCTAAACACACCTCCATAGTAAGACTATTAAGTTACAAAGCGAATTATCTTCTGAATAAAAAAAATAAAAAAAAGGCAATGGTTGTGGTAAAATTCCCCTCAGATGGTGAGTGTTGTGTGTCCTGCCATTTCACCACAGGATGTGTTTTAAGTATGATCAAATTGATTGAAAACAGGAGAACTTTGTCTCCTGGATCTGCGCTGCATTTGTCTTGTTACATGACGCCGAGTCCTCATCCCCTCACATTGGTACTGTTGTTTAGAAACGACTGGATTTCTAGTTGCAGTATAGAGCATGTGTCTGCTCAACAGCAATGAAAATCACCCAATTTTATCATAGTTACCTGCTACGGGAGCAAGCAGGCATAGTGACTGGAAAGATTCAGTTGTTGCAGACTTTTGAATTAGGTTTTTATTTTGTGACTTGCCCATGAAGGGTCCAGATTTGCTCCATCGATCATGTAAGATTATATGATATGAACTTTTAATCGATCAAAAAAAATGTCCACGGTGGTGGCTGATGAAAGCGCTTGATAGTCATGTGACAAGGCAGATAGTTCTAAATGTGACTTCAGATGAAGGTTAGAATTCAGAGGGCTTAAACAGCTGAAGCTTATTTAGTAGCAGCGAGTGAACTGATGACATATCACCAACAACAGGCTGTCTAAAATGTAGGAAAAGCGATACAGCCAATTATTCTTAAATGTCTCATCTCTTCAAAACAGACTAGCAACATTTAGTTGAAGAGCTAGTGCTTGATACCTTATCCTAGATTGCATCACAAACCTCACTTAATTCTAAATGCCTAAGAATCATGTGAAAAATGAATCGTTTCAGTAATGCGCCCAAATCTGGCATTGCAGTCAGTGTAAGCCCTCTGTCATTGTAAGCTTAAAGATTCCTTTGCTCCTGTTAACAAACGTTGGTTTTCACGAGACTCACTAGCGCATGCGCAGCGCTGACCTCAGACGTCATACGCCCGGAACTGCTTCCAGTGTACAACAGTGAGCGCAAGCTGCATTAAAGTGATTATTACGTTTTGAATATGGATATTTTTCTTACAAAAATGCATCGATTCGCTACAGAAGGCCTTTGTTCACCCCCCCCGGAGCCGTGTGAGACACTTTTTTTTTTTTTTTTGGATGAGCGCATTTTATTTAACTGCTTTTGGACGGATGCATGCAACACCTGCTGAGTGGCATTAAACAGCTTGAAAGATCAAAGACAATTTTTTATATAACTCCGATGGATCATATACACCTAGGATGACTTGAGAGTGAGTATTTTATGGGCTAATTTTCATTTTTGGGTGAACTAACCCTTTAAGCTGCTTGAGCCCTAGAGATATAGGCAGTTTTCACTGTTGTTGATCATGAGGTGTGTTCCATGATTGTAGTATCTACATTTATTTTCAATTAAAGGGGTCATATGATGCGATTTCAATTTTTCCTTTCTCTTTGGAGTGTTACAAGCTCTTGGTGCATAAAGAAGATCTGTAAAGTTGCAAACACTAAAGTCTCAAAACCAAAGAGATATTCTTTATAAAAGTTAAGAGTTAACCACACCCTCCTAAAACGGTTTTGTAAAAATCGACGCGTTTCAAAAAGGCGGGGCATAGAGGAGAAACAATAATGTACAGTATGTGGAAAATAATGTGTTTTTTTTTTACTTTAAACCGCATAAACACATTTCATTACACCAAATACACAAAATAATGTTCTTTTTAGCAGCATCATATGACCCCTTTAAGTTATTTGGAAATAAGACACCTCTATCCTATACCCCTTCCCCCTCATTATGCCAGAAAGCCCCTCACATAATGTTCTCCGCTTGGATCTGATCTCAACAGGGTGTCGTAGTCAGTCGTCAGCACAGTTCTTAAGTGGCGACCAAGAGCCCTGGGCCTTTAGGGGCGGTCTAGCAGGAGAGTTCCAGGTATCCAATATTGAATTACCAGCAAAATGTTACACGAAGATATATTTTCATTTGTTTTAGATGTTCGTATGGTTGCGAAAGGATACGGGTTGGTCTGTTTAAGGTGAGCTGTCAGCAGCTGCAAGGAAAAGCGAAGGGGTGTTGAGAGCCACTTGAGCTTTTTACTGAAGTGTAAACTGAAAAGGGTCAGATCTAGTGTTTGGGGTGATGGTGTTTTCTAACCCAGCCTAAATTTGGATTTCTTTCAGCAACTGCCCAAATGAGATGCTGCTTTTCCCCCTGCGCTTGCGTCAGCGCAGCATGGCTAGGTTTTATTTTATGATATCTTGTTTCTTTTTGCAGGAAACAGCAAAAATTATTGCCACATTTTGTGTGCGCCTGCGTCCACAACACTGCGCTTGCGTGTGTGACTGCAAGCCTACTCAAAGCTCCATGAACAAATGATTACTAATCCATAACCTCGGCATACTTAACATCTCAGAATCTTCTTAAATGGTCTGTCAAGGAAAATATGTTTTAAGCTGGAAATATTTGGTCATGGAGTTTTGCTTTGCGCGCCAGCATCATCATTTTCTCTACAGGAAAATCTTGCGCAGCGAAAAAGAGCGGGAAAGGAGCATCTCCTTTTGCCAGTTAAGCCTTTCTCAGACCAAGCCTGCGCAATTTTGTTTCATTTTTGTTTCTCTCAGAAAAAAAGATGGAAATGATTTTCAGTGGTCCGTATCTTATGTATGATGTTTACGTGCTCTTGCTGTACACTGACCGACCAGAGAAGCAAGTTTACTTATGAAGCGATTTATTCCCATGCCGTTATTAGGCACATTCTTGTTCAGCTCCATTGTGTGAGGTCGGTTCAGCTGGAGCAGGTAAACAGCAGCTAAAGTGTCAGTAGCAGTGCAGTCACATGGTCAAATCTAGAGAGATACTAAACTGTACAATGCTTTTGCTTTGGTCTCCACAGAGACTGTTGCCAATTGATGGGGCAAATGATCTTTTCTACCAGCCACCACCACCAATGCCAACTTCTAAAATCTATACCCTAAGGCCTTACTTTCCCAAAGATGAGGTAGGTTTTGGCTGGGCATCAAACCACTGATATCAGCCATTTTATTTTCTATTTGCAAAATTGTGTATGCAACTTTAGCCATTTGTAAAGTCCAGACTAGGGTCAAGTAACTAGCTAGTTTGTAACTACCTACTATACCCTATTTAATTTGCTTGCACTATTTGTTCTTAAGGCAGAACGTAGCTAGTAGTTCATAAGCTTTCCATTTACCTCCTATGATCCAAAAAAACACTTTTTAATTAATAAGCAGAAGTTGTATTGAAATGCATTGATTTTCAATTTATGCTGTTAAGGTTGATCCTTATTTCTTCACGTAAATAATAAAAAATAAGTTTCCACTGATACTTAAGCATGAAATACCACAGTAGGTATTTTGTCTTTTCCACGACATTCTAATTTATTGAGATGCACCTGTATGTGAATAAAGAATGTAAATAAAATTCAGAAACTGTACTTTAAATTAATAAGGAGCAATAAATTCTAAATACAAAGAATTGGGTTTGTGTTGAAGAGCTGCTAAGTCATTTATTTACATAATCTCTCTTTTTAAAATGTAAAGAAGTGTAAATGTATGTCATCATGTATATCTAATGGATTGAAGTAAGTTAGGTCAAATATGAGCATTGCATTAATGATGCAGTTCAATCAATTTGCTGTTTTATTTAGACCTTATCACCAGGCTTCTATAAATATTTAGTTTATACGTAGTTGCATTTCAAGTTTAATGGTGCAACGCAAAAACATTTAGTAGTGCATCATTTGTATCTTAATGCCCATTTACGTTGCAACTGGGCTAAGTTGTAACCTGCACACAGCTGTGCAGCCGGCCCCAAGATGTTAATTTTGTTAATGTTGAGGACATGACTCGTCTACGGTAAGCTGTCTGTAGTATGAAAACTCTGTAGATGCTCTGTCTAAATAAAACGTTGCTGTTGGCTGCTTGAATTCCCAGCTGAGGTGTCGTCCCAGTTTAAGCTATGCTTTTAGGTTTATTTGCAGCACATCTGAAGCATTCTGCTGAAACAGCAGTCTGGTCCACCTGTTAGTCCTTAGAGGGCTCGCACTTTGTGGAACGAAAGCTGTCAAGATACCTTCACACGCTATCTCTCTCACTCTCTGTCCTCAGTCTGCCATCTACAAGATCTGCAAAGAGATGTTCACTGAGGGCTGTGACGGCATCTCTTTCTCAGATGAGTCACCGGACCTTATTGGAGACAGGTGTGGTTTGAGCTTCCACTTTTAGTCACATTAATCTAAGTTGGGTGCTTGATTAATAACATGTGAACTTTGTACCATCATCTTCCTCATTGCAGGTTAGTGGGAGGTTTCCTGACACTCAGCCCAGACTATGGCTTTGTGCTTGAGGATGAGGAAGGTATCTGCGGCTATGCTCTGGGCACTGTGGATGTCAACCCTTTTGTGAAGAAATGCAAGATGAGTTGGATTCCATTCATGCAGGAGAAATACAACAAGCCAGACACAGAGAAGGACATGTCAGAGGCTGAGGTTAGCATGTCATGTCTTCATCAAACCCAACAAACTATTCTTTTTATGGAACAATTTACTGAATCTTCAGACAAAATCTAATATATATATATATATGTGTGTGTGTGTATATATGTATGTATGTATATATATTAGGGCTGTCGGTCGATTAAAATTTTTTATCTAATTAATCGCAAATTACATTTGTCTGTGAAAATACCCCCAAAAGATTATTTAATGCTATTTTTGTGTTAAATGAGAAAGTATTAAGTACACATTATAAATAGTAGCTTTTGAAAGAAATATTTTAGATTCAACATAAAATTTATTGCACTTAAACGTTTAGGCTACCACAGCCTAACATAAACTATGGAATATAAAAGAAGATCATTTGAGAAACAGCTCAGTTTTTTTTTCGTTCATGCAATGGAAGTCATTGGTAACCAAAACAGCTTTGTAACCAACAGTCTTCAAAATACCTTCTTTTATGTTACACAAAAGAAAGTAAATAAATATTTTAGATTCAATATAAAATGTATTGCACGTAAACGTTTAGGCTACCACGGCCTAACATATTATGGAATACAAAAAAAGATAATTTGAGAAACACTCAGTTTTTTTTTCGTTCATGCAATGGAAGTCATTGGTAACCAAAACAGCTTTGTAACCAACAGTCTTCAAAATACCTTCTTTTATGTTACACAAAAGAAAGTAAGTCATTCAGGTTTGAGTAAATGATGACATAATTAACATTTTTTGTGTGAACTATTCCTTTAAAGTTTTTTCCCCCCTTTTTTAATGAAATAATACCCTAAATAAGAAACTAAAACTGCCAGCAGGTGGCGGTAAATGTCTTAATGATTCTTTCATTTGATTTGTTCAAATGGCTGATTCATTCAGGAATTCAGTAAAAGGCTCACTTTATGAATGGGCCTTTGAATCATTGGTTCACACAATTAGTTCAAAACGCGGATTCATTCAGAAACTAAACACAGCTGTGTTGCTCACAGACGCACAATTCTGCTGTGGCTTTATAGGTAATATTTTTGTTGGCAAAACTGATCAAAAACAGACAATATTGTGTTTAAAATACAACACAATATTAACTTATTATTTACTGAACTGTTGTGTAAAATCACATTTGCACTCAAACAGCACTCGTGTGTTGCACTCGCTGTTGGTGTGATATTGCATAATGTGATATAAATATGATTTCAATAAACACATACAGGAGCATTTTTGCACCAATATTTTGAATTTTAGGGCATAACTGCATTTATGGAGTTGTTGCCCTGCATCATGTTTGTCAACAGTCAACTATGAAATGTAAGATGATGTACAGGTCTGGGGGCGGGGCCAGTGCGTATTTTACGTTAAAATATTTTCATCGCGTTATTTTTTCATAACTAATTAATTAA